TAATCTAACCTAAACAACAGGCTGAATATCAAATCATGAATTCAATTTGAGTATTGGAAAATGATGAAATGCATTTAAAAAACTGTTGTTGTCATCAAAGCTTTGAATATTGCTACACAAAAGTGTTTTAACATTGTAGAAAGTGGTGAAATATATGTTTTCATAACTAATTTATATTTTAATTCAACGATACTACCTACAGTTAAGTTGTTGATAATACTACAATTAAAGGAAATGTTTCTATATGATATATAAGTTTATAGCTATCTAGATTATCTTTTACAAAGTAGGTACACAAACTCACAATACGTGGATACGCTTACGCTTGGGGAATTGGAAGACGTGAGCAATATCGTTGCGCCATCGTCGCCACAGATAAATCCTAGTAAACAAAATTGTAGCTGTCATCGATATCGTATTTTATGATGGGCACGAAGGCAACATGAAATTCAAATCGTACAAAATTGACCGCGGTCCCTTTTCTATACAACTACGCATAACAACTCGCTAAAATACCCCCAAATCCTTTGAAGCCGACGGACAATGAGTGTGACATTGTGCTATTATTATATTTTATTTTCCCCTACGGCTCCTTATTATTTTTATACTTTTCTTTTTATCGGGGTTATCGGCTATAAAAAGCGGAATGTGTCTGCCTGATTGAACCTTCTCGAGTTTTATTTCCCAAAACAATGTTACGCACAATCACTTTTTTATAGATTTATTTACGTATAAGTGACTAACGTCCGTTGTTTTTAATTATGTCGCAAAAGTGTAAAATTTAACTGTACTTTGCAACTTTGATTTAATATTAATTATCGTCATATAAATATTATACGAGAGCTTATAGAAATATCAATACATAACTGTTATTTTTAATATTTGCTGGCAAATCTTTATTGAAAATTTAAAATTTTTTACGAACCGTCGTGAATTATCGAAAAGAACGTGAATAATCAGTAAGTAACCGATTTTTATTAAAAATATACTTTTTAAACTTTTAAAAAGTATATTTTAACAAGCGTTTCGGCAGTAATAAGAAAAGGTAGTAGTACATCTAGTTTAAATCATAAAGGTGGCTTAATAAGATAGTGAAATGAATGGTTAATCGATGAGATGCTTTATTTTATGAGGCGGCGGCTCGTGGTAGAGTAAAATAAGCTTAGTTTATGGGTAATATAGAACACGGAACACGGCTCGCCGCGAGGAAGTTAGTTGCATTTTGCATAAAATCGATATAGTTAGTAGGGCGGTTAGTATAATACTACCTCTTATATGTACCCATAATGTAAATCGTAATAAAGTGCATCGTAATCAATGAATTGAAACTTCATTTTTTTTTCATCTGTAATCTGCGTATTAATGTACAGATAGAGACAATGGGCCATGACCCACCACATTGGCCATGTGTAGATTTGCGGGTTTTAATAACTGCAGATGCAGCAGAGACTAATTGTTGACGTGCCTTTCCACACACAACCACAGCAAAGCTCGAGATACTACATTTTTTACCCATCCTATGGCCGGCCTTTGCGAAAGTTGCTTTTTTGTCTTAAATATTGTTGTTTTAAAGTACGCGTGTTAAACTAGAGTCATAAATAATCTGCATTCAGCCCCGTGTCGCTGCGCGGGGCGGTTTTGAATAGCCCTATCCCAAATGTCGTGGTATGTTTTCTATAATATATAGAATTCATAAATTGACAAGCAATAGTTTCGGGCTATATAAATAAAATTTAAATACTCAAAAAGTGTGTGAGGACTTTTTAAAAAGAAAAATAATTAACTCGAATTCTTGCATTACAAATTACTTTTTAACTTTTCCAATGGGCTATGTTCTACCTTATATTTTGGAAGACATCAAGTTTTTTTAGTAACTAGCTTTCACTCCTCTTAATCACTCTGTATATTGATGCAATCCGAATTTTAATCCGATGTGTAGTTTTAAAGATCTCAGAGCACAGACAGCGGGAAGTGACTTTATTACATTCTACGTATAAATTAGGGTCTCTTGTCCGTCAGTTTAATAAAAATACCTATATGCAAATATTCCATACCCATATGTTGCAGATATGTATTAAATTTTAAGAATTTAGGAACTTTTAGCGCCGGAAAAACTATAATAAATAATTTTACGAGCCGCTACTGTCGTGACTTTTGTTGCGTGAATTTTACGAGCATCGCTAGTGCAGTGCAGAGTTGTTCTGAATTTATATAACAATTTTCCATAATAAAGCAACAACGTGTGAATATATTTTACTGAAATTTCTTGTTTTATGCATATATTCTTTATGTTCATATGAAACGTTAAATAGAAATCTTAACTTATATGCCTATTATCATATAGAAGCTGAGGTAAATCCATACTAAAGTAAATCATTTAAAAAAAAATTTTTTTGTGTCCATCGAGTGAGCTCTGAAACTTCAGGAACGACCGGGTGCCATAGGTCATAATAGGGTATAACTTACGTGGGTGAAGACAGGGGAAAATAAAAAAAATATTAACTATTAATCTAAAAATAATATTAGACAACATCACAGAGACTGCTTGCATTACGGAAAAGTACGTTTTCTAGATTAACTCGACCGGGAAACGAACCCAGGACCTCGAAGAGAAACTTGAGACCGAATTGCGCGCCACTCGGCTATAAAGGTCATGAACCGGTCACAGAAGTAATTATATTAAATTAATACCTTGCAAATTGAATTGTGCCATTCAATTAAATATCTGGCGGTATCATTGAACGGCTATTTTAACCATTTGTCTAAGGCACGATGTTACTGAAAATGTCGCATAGTTTAGTGACAGCTTGTTTTTTCTTAGTGGGCTTTTTTGTTAGCCCATCCAATAACCAGCCGTTATGAATGACCTAACTTTCATGATAGCAAAGTTTCAAACTGTGCGTCGTGTAATGAATAATTAAACTGAATTTCACTTAATTTCCATGTTCTCAGCTTTATATGTATATGATGATAATTTAAGCCGAGTGAGCGGCGTAAGTTGTTTTACTAGCTTAATTTTAACTTATTAGTGCTCTAAATATCAGTTCAATTCACACAGCTTTGTAATAAAATCAGCGTCGAACAGCGCTGTTACAGCACAAAAGTTTCATGAAAATAATCTTTATTACCTTTGAAGTAGGTTTTATTTGATTTAACCTCTAAGCTGTGAAAGAGTTGTGCTCAACGTTGAGTTCGACGCTGATTTACGAATAGTAAAGCAGAGATCTTGCAAGCGTCGGTATATTTATATTATAAACTAAAATTTTCGGTCATGTTATAAGTGACTGGGATATTTAACAGCATTGACTAAATAACAATTGTTTATCAACTTTTAGTTAAAAAATTGATCTCGGCTTATATTTGGACTTTTGTTCGATATAGTATACGAGCTACGTAATGTAAGTTGCGTTACAAATAATTGTTTAAATTTAAAAAAAATGCATCTATTGCTGTAGAGATCAATTACGGGCAACGAATGCAATATTTTAAAAGTCCGTAGTCTACAGATATTCCACTTGATAAAGAAAGTTTTGAGGGAGAACTTAACAATAACATAATTGGAGAACTAAACAAGGACTTGTGTCATCTTTTTCTAATGAATTACAAAATTTTAAAGTAAGGATATTTTCTAGAAGAGGATTCCATTTTTATTCCATAATTAGAATACGAAACGGGGACATTCGGTATGTATTTTATAGCACATTTTGTATTTTGAAGGTCTCCAAGGGTTGGTTGCACTTACTTTAACAATACCGTGGTACAAGTGAAGCAAATGATGAGATGGACGATTGGCAATAGATGACACAACTTTGACTGTTAACTATAACCACTCGAGCTTCGCATGTTAAAGTTATTTTTTGTCTATGCCTAAAAAGAGGATAGTATAATGCATTCCGTATGCAATGTTAAAGGCAGAGTGATAGTTATTTTCAAATGTGACTTAAACCTTAACTGCATGGTGTTATGACTCTCTCTTCTCTCTCTCCCAGTCTCTTTAAAGCGGGTATTATTGTAGAATGTGACTCGTTACCGGGTCTCTACATTATTAAATCACTTAACAGTCGTAAATTGCTCTTCACAATGCTAATGTTATGAGTTGTTTTAATAGCAGTAATTGAGAAATGGGTGCTATACGCAAATAAGTTTTCGTTTATTATAACAACATTAATGGACGTAAATCGCTTGTCAGTGAGATTGAATGCATTGGAGAAAGTAAAGTGTGGAAGAGTTAATTAATAATTAAGTAAAATATTTCACTTTATGTATAGGGAAATTTTTTGAATTTAATTTTACATATAAGTCTACTTCACTTATCAAATATACGTTAATTTTATTTATATAGGAAATGGGCTCAATGTTCTAATAGACTTGGTTATTTGAATATCACAATATTTCAGCATATAAGGGTAATGAACTCTAATGCATTAATTATAGTAATCTTTAAAATTACAAGAAATTTGATATAGTTTGTTATTTTATAGCATTCAAAATAATATAAAATCAACTACCTTTTTAAATTGAGTATTTCGTTGGCGCAGTGGTTTACACTTCCGGTCTGCGATGCCGAAGTTAAGCAATTTCCGCAAAGGTCGGTAATGGGAGGGGTGACCATATTTGCCTGTAGGGTCTTTGCGCATTCTCCCATACTCGATACGATTTCATCCTTGGAGAAGGCTTGTCTCTCACCAGTGGGACATTAAAAGGATGATGACGATGAAACATGATATATTTTTGGATAAAATTGATTTAATAATCAATTGCTTCAGGTTAATTTTGCATTAAAATGTAGTTCTTTAATAATACCTAAAAAAACCTTAAAAACTTTATTGGAAATGCAAAATAAAAATAATGTACACTATAGGTAATAAGCGGCAGGAAATATTTATATTAGTCTGAGGCTAGTTTGAAGATATAATAAAAAAAAACCAGATTTGTATAAATTACTTTTTTCAATTTTATTAAGCTCACTCTTGACCTCGATGGACATATATGAGATCTACGATGGGACAAGCTTGCTCAGAAGAAACTTATTCACTTTATTAATAAATTTATATCGTCAAGCCATATCCCTCGTGAGGTAGGCAGGTATCGTATTTACTGTTATAGTACAGTTTATTAATATCACATTGTAATAAGCCTTCTTTGTACTCCTGTAGAGTTACTAAATAATTTGTTGAAGTCTATCATGCTATTAGTAGTCATTTGTTGAAGTATGAAATTCAGAACTTAAGCCATAACGTGTCACATGGGAAGCGGAGTGCTGTGCTCATATGTAATGTTAACGACATGAGTGGCGTTTGCGAAGAGGCATGCGGCAATAACACGTTCTAGGTATGTGAAGTGGGTGTTTTAACAAGATGCTCTAACAGCATTTAAACAAGCCACATAATGCATGTTCATATACATGAAAAAAATTGTTACATCCAGTTGCACAAACGTACATTAAAGTTTGATTAAAGTTTAAGTTTTAATAATAATGTTCTAAATTTTATAATTTGCGTCAGACAATAATAATGGACATGTCCAACTGGATATTGGCTAGAAATTTTCAAATTTAGAACATTCGAGCTTCGGACTAATGCATGCAGCCGTTGTCTCTCACTAAAATTTACTCGTACATTTTTGCATGAGCCCTAGCTTATACGAATTTTAAACCTGGAAAAAAAAATGCTATTTATATAGGGACTTCTTATAAAAAGTTTGTACAGATATTTTTTGTCCTGTTCCAGCAATTGTAAAATATTTATAAAAGTGATTATAGAATAGATTACAAGGGAGATAGTATACGTAAATATTTAGACATAATATTATTTAGTTTGACATTATAGTAGATCATTATATCTGATCAATTTAGCATTCAAAATGCTATACTGAGAAACATTCTTAATGAAACATGCTTAAAAAATCCAATTTCAGGGTGCCAGGGACCAAATGGATTTTTTGATGTTTAAACGTATACTTATCTAGCAGATCTCCTAGATTTTGTAGACTTGTATTTTCATATATCCTTTCATTTTACTTTTTACAATATCTGTACATAAAATATTTCATTAATGTTTTAAGTTTATTCATGAGGCTTATTTTGTTGTGGTCTTGCAATACTAGTTTTTCTATTTTTGCAATGACATAAGGTAAAGCTCTTGTTACTGAAAAAGCCTGTGTCCACAGTTAAATAGTTTTAAAAATTAAATTACAATAATGCATTTATTGATTATAACGAAAATGTTAAGAATTTGAATATTAACCTTGTTTGGGGTTAGAGCGACCAGAAGCTGTTTCTCCAAAAATAAAATTTCTTCTATTTTCGTAACGCTAATACGACTCCAAAGAAACGTGTTTTCCGATAATTTATTACGTATTGGAGGTAGGACATCGCCTCTGATGCACAGATAATTTTTACAATATAATTAATAAAAAATATCACAATGCTTTCCAAAATTTCGTTCGTGAACAAACAGACTAGTCTTTGTTTATAACAAAGTTATAAAAAACTTAACTTCAATGATAACTATTTCGATGTGAGAAGAGAAAGTGAGGAAGAATGATTCGTAATCTTCCTAATTGAAAATTGTATTCAAACAATTCAAGCATTAATACAACTCTTTTGAAATAGTAAACATAGTCCATATTTCCTTACCTGAATATCCATTTATTAATCCATTCTTTTCGGGTGTAATAATTGCAGTTTGAGTTAAGGTTTATGTCGAATTTGAATATATCTGTAACGCTGACTTAAACATTGACTGTGGAATGCGTTGCACCATCCTCTTTCTTGGCATTATATAACAATACCTCTAACCAGCAAAACTTAGGCGGTTTTAGTTTATAGTTAAAGTTATGTATGATGTTATCCAACCATTGTCAAATGATAACTCTTTATTATTTGCTTAGCCAGTAGTACTTTAACTTTAAAAAAAAAAACATGACATAATGATAATATATGATAATAATTTGTTATGTAATGAGTCGTATAATATATAATAAGAAATGTAATAAGTTGAATAATATAAAAACAATATTTGCACGCCTATCGGCAGGCAGAATACTGTACTTGTCTGATTATTTGTGTATGACTTGTATTTTGGCAAATAAAGATCTTATCTTATCTATCTTATCTTATCTAACATGTTTGCTATTTTTAAAGTAAGATGGTGCAACTAACCCTTAAGGTGTGAAAATTAAAGTTCTGGTATTTTTTCTCAAAATATTATATTACCTATTAAATGGATATTTCGTTAAAGATAGGTATCGTTAATAATACTACCTTAGTTGACTAAGACTGCTGAGATGCATTTATCCATCACTGCAATCGACAGCTATGGTTCTAATCTTCATACTAATCTCATTTGGCATCTATGGACCCGCTGCTGGCATAACTACCATAGTAACCGATAAGATATAACTATAACGAAGAGAGAGTCCATGAAAGCACATATAGGACTAACAACCGAGATAGTGAAAGTTTTTGTTAGTTTGAAAAGAAACTATTATCCGATCTGAAGGTAAGCGTTATAAGATGTTGTGTTATGATTTCCTTATAATTGATTGCGGAAATCCCTGTATGTATACCATTTTTATCCTGTATTCTGTGTTCTAACTATATCTACTGTTTCATTACTAGTTTGCAAACAATGTGTTTATTATTTTCTTCGTAATGTGTTTAGGTTTTATTTAGAAGAATAGAAAACTAAGCCAACAATTATTTAATTTGCATTAGAAACGATTCATTTATTTTTATCGGTCGGCAGTTTTCGTATTGAAGGAATGGGGATACACATACATTAACAATGACGCCGCTTTGCACGGTTCCACCTTATATAGGTTATAGGTGGCTAATGGAATAGATATTCTCCGAGAGACATATGGTAAGTTGCACAAACGTTCATTAAGGTTTAATTGGCCTTTCAGTTCTAAATAATATCAAATTTGTATTGGTAACGTTACTTTAAACTGATGACCATTTAAATGAACGTTGTGCAACGAAATGAGTGAGTCTCAGGCGGATGAGAATGGGTTCACCGAGACCCGACATTAGTTCTTGGAGTAAGGGTCTTAAGGGCTTTAACGGGTAAGTTGATCCCACCCTTCTGGCTGGTCCTAGCGATCCCAGAATCCCGAATCCATACACAAGTTGCATTTCACCTGCGAAAACAAAAAAGGTCGATGTCCAAACCAAAAATATCGTAAGCATGTATGAAAAGAGAACATCGAGAAAATGAAAGATATAAAGAGGTTCTTGTGGTTCTCTTCGCTACCCTATAAGATAGAAATAGATAATTGTTATTATTACTAGTATGAGCAATTTTGTTGTGTTAAATTCATATGTATGATAGTCGACAGGACGGGTATGAAGTTGAGCGTGCTGAATATCATGTTTAATTTAGATGCAATTTTGGGTCCTTTTATATCAATTTTTAAGTAATAGCCCTATTACTTGTACTCGCTACTGTTAAATCATTTAGGTTTTCTTTTTATTAAAACTTTAAAAGAAAACAAACCACCGCATAATGTTACTACTAACTACTGTATTCTCCTGTGCCATCGAACGTGTGAATTATAAATACACGTGTTTCTGGAATTTAAATAAACTTCTTATGATATTAATTGAGTACAAAATGAGGGTAGACTATTTCTAAACGAACTGTAATATGTGGCAGTTATTAACTCTAAGAAAAAATTAATAATATCAAAATATAAATAACTTCACCTAAATGTACTTAGGTATTTGGTGGTAAAGCACTCGTATTATGGAAATCTAAAACAACATACGTACCACAACATCCAGACCCGAGACGATATAGTAAAGTCCATTATTACATTAACCTGACCAAGAATCGTACCCAGGACCTCAGATATACCTTAAAACCGGTGTAGCCACGGAACTCATCTTGTTATTATACAGCTACAGCCATTCACACGTTGAATTGTCTAACGTTGCGCTCGTATTTATAAAATATAGCAATTAAGACTTCTCTGTAGCACTTAAATTCTAATTAAGGCATAGAGTCCAGGTCAAATTAGGTACTCTACGTAGTACATATACATTGTCATATATTCTTAGTCTCAGTTGCAAATTACTTTAACAATAACAAAGATGCTGAAGTACCGTTAAGCAAATAATCAGTTGCACCATTTGGATTTTGGTTATATGACGTCATTACTTTAACTGGTAACAATAACCACGTTAAAGTTATTGTTTTACTATGCCGAGAAAGATTAGGAGTCAATGTTAAAGTTAGTGTGACAGTTACTGTCAAATTTGACATAGACTACAAATTTAGCTGCTAATAAAATGCAATCCTTAAGACTGCTGTACCTGCGATTTCGTCAGCGTGGAAATTAGCCCAAGTTACTCCTTATTACATAGGTTATCTACACGTGAAAGTCTTGTCAAAATCAGTCCAGCCATTTCAGAGATTAGCCGGAACAAACAGACAACAAAAAATGAAAAAAAAAATGTTGATATATGTACCGTGTATACATACATATGAATTTAGTAAAAGTCGGTTATTTTAATATTACATACAGCCACTCCAATTATATTTATTTGCAGAGTAAGTAAAGAACTACTACGACAAACTACTATGCAGTTTGGCAGATGTAATTCTAAGATGTGGCAGATGTAGTAGTAGTATGTAGTATTTCCAAAAACAGAAAAAAAATACGATAGTAAATCAAATACAGATTTTTATAAAAATCATTTATTGTAACTTTACATAAACAACTAACTGCAACGAGCACTATACATTTCATCAAGAAAACAGACCATTTTATAATCGAGATTTTAAATAAGATTTCGAATTGCGTTGTAAATGTGTAGAATCAGTTTCCTAAATCAATTTAGGATGTAGAATCAAGTGCTTGAATAGTTAATCGATTATAAGCCAATCGTATATGTAAGTCTGTCTTCAAAAGCAAGAAACTGATTCTCGGATTTAATTATTATATTCGGAATATTCATTTGTTATAGCAATCGAGAAAATTCTCCTGGAAACTAGGACAGTACCATTTACTAACATTTCTAAGTGATATGGATATATTTTTTATTTATTTACCGAGTCCAATTTTTTTGCCATAAGATTGGCAAAATGGACTTTTAGTTACTAAGTTTTAATTATCCTTAGAAAATTTACAATGTGGAGACTCTAAACTGCTTTACACTGCTTTACACTGCTAAGTATCAGATTTTCCACTTAATTTTTTCTACGCTTCCATAATTTTTTATGACATCCGTATTTTTTATGAGTTCACGAGATGTCATTTGATTTTGTTAACATTGAAGCGAAGAGGTGTGATAATTGAGTTATTTTATGTTTATTTTTTAGTCTGTTACAATAAATAACATATTCGGTGCGGTTTTTTTTGTAGGAAAACCGGCAATATCATGGCACAGTGGAGCTTGGCAAATCAGAGCAGCTGTTATTCTGTAATACCAGTAGCCTAGAATTCGTTGCTGTCACAGTTTATAGGTTTTATTAAATAAAACCCTTTGAAGACGGGTCTATGTGATTTAACCTCTATGCTTTGTGTTTTTTTTTAATAATAGCACTGTAGGGCTGCTCTGTGTGTGGTGCTGCCAGGGATGAACAAAATGGAATTCCAGAACACGGAACCTGTAAAGGGTCCGAGTCGCCAATAAAACCGTTTAAAAGTTGTTTCATTTAAGAATAACATTCTGTCTAGCTCCAAGCGCGCTGTTTGTGACTGTTGACTAATACATTCACTCCTATCCACTTCAACGTATGTCACCCTTAATTGTAGACTTCTGTTAATTATCATTGTATGTTCCATAAACTTTTGTGATGTCCAAATTATCCAATTCCAACAATTAAATTTAGCATTGTGAATTTTACTGTTTCGAATTTAATTGTAGCGTTGCTTGAAAAATATATTCATTGAAGGCATAATAAAGAAATAGATGTTTTACTGCGTATAGTGAAAACTGTTTGTAATTTAAGATAATTAATGCATGTTTATATTTTTTATAAGATTTCGTATAACAGATTGAAAATAATAAGTAAAATTCAAAACCAAATAAAGTCCAAAACTTAAAAACGACATTTGATTTTTATAAATTAAAAATTACAGTTAGCAGCAAACAGGTATGTTTCTGTTTATAAACTGATACTGTATTGTACTGATATTTTTAGAGAACTTTCAATATGAACATATTACCTTGTTTAATAAATGCATGGTATATTGTTATTTATTTAACAACTACTCCCATCTTTCTAATATTAACTCAATAAATAATGCAGTCTCACTCTATGATCGTGGATCTTTCAAATGCTTCGAAATAAGTATTCAGATTTTTTATATAAGGGTAATTATACACTCTTCAGCACAGTTGTTTTATTTTTATGAACCAGTTTATTTATTAAAGGTTGGTAGGTTGATTGCTTAAAAAGGAAAGTGAAAGTGATTTTTTCACAAAAGTTAGTGTTAGTAACTTCTAATAGATATGTAGTCAATTGCTTTTCTCTTACTAACCACTTTATTTTCTAAAGCTATAATTATTTTTAGATCTTTATTTATTTAAGAATTGTGATGTTATCAAAAACTTAAATATGAACCATCTGTTACTTCACATTGAGTTCGTCTATCATAGCCATTTTTCAAGCAACACTGCCATAAACCATTACAATACAATGTTGGAAAGCTCGTTAATATCGGCAACATGAGTTACGTAAAGCTATTTTTATATATTACAAAGCACGCCATATTGTCTTTATTATGGATACATGTAGTTATTTACAAAACTTTCGTATATACTGCTCTAAGGCGATTTTTTTAAAATTAAACAGCGAAAACTACAGATATTCATTAAAATGACTGCGGATATGGCACATTTAAACATACAAAACTATCAGTCTTTCAAATTGAGAAATAGATCTAAATATATTTACAATATCTTTCATAAAAATAAATAAGATTACAAATTAACGAATGATATCTTCGATGTGTTTATAACGGCGTTAATTTCACTAATACTTATTATTATTTGATATATTTATTCATTAACTTAATTGTATGACTGTACAATACATATTGAACAGCTCTTAGCTGAAATTTACAAAGTATAGATACTTCTAGTTGTACTAAAGTTTAACAAATTACTTAACTACATTGGCACTATGATAGATATAATACAAAAGTTTTGACATGATTTGTGTCAGCTGATAATAAAAGATGCGATGGTGACAAAGAAGGCGCTAGTAGTGGTAGCACAACCGGAAGATTGTGTCGATTCGTAATCTGTTAATTAAAAAACAGACAGCTTAATTAACTATTCAGTTTAACAATGTAAACCGTTTTATAATAAAACAGTTACATTTATATTTATTTGGCAGTGGCAAAAAGTATGTCTTTAAAATTGAATAATGGGTGAAATATTATTATGTTTAATCAAATAACTTACCAGAGTCTTTTAATTCTTCGAACTCGTAGTCTCCTATGACTCTATTTTCGGCAGAACTATCACGGAAACGGCTTTTGTGCTTCCCTGTGAAGGCATTCAAACGTATAAATAAAATTACATCGGGGGAAAAAAATTATCGACGATCTGTTTCGTTACAATAAAAATCTTTCGGGTTTTCCTCGACTGACCATGAAAGTAGACTTTCGAGCCTCAACGAAACATATGACGTCATAAAGAATAGAAACGAAAGGCCAAATCTATAACAATACGAGGGCATTGGAAGTCAAAGCCCAAACAAAATCGCTTTTCCCACAATAATATTACTAACGACGCAATTGTACGGAAGCATTGGGTCGCGCGGCAAAACCAATAAATACAAAATCCAGATCGACCTTTTCCGGACGCTTGCAGGAGCCGATGAATGTATGAAGCGCTGGGCTCGCCTCAACTTTTCATTTCTATTACTTTTCTAATAGGACTGTACGTGCTAAAATTGAATCCCCCAAAATTTGCCTGTAGGTAAATATTACGTTGATCATGAAAAATTAATTCGGAATTCGGGAATTGATCGGATCGAAAAGGGTTTCATTAGAAACTTCAGGGGCGTTGTTTGGACATTAATTATTTTGATGTCTGAATCGGTTTCAGGGAGCCATTCGGTGTTGTTACCTTTCTTCTTTTGTGGATGTGTGGGGACGTAGTTAACTGTGGTGCTCATTGTTGATGGTGCGGGTATTTCTGTAATAATGACACAATATGTAAGTCTACAATTAAAAGTTCTAAAAGGAGGATAGATAAAGCAGCCAAGTTTATGTTAGTTCTTCTCGGCACAAGGTCTCCCGACATAGATTTACGAACGTTTCGACTTTCTCAAGTGCTTGTACTTGTACTGACAAGACTGAATAAATGATTTTTATTTTTAATATTATTCAAATAGTATTAAAATAATCCTTTGAAAAGTTGTTACAATTTTCGATTGGGCAATTTTGGAAATATATCACCATTAATATGCACTAACAAATCACGAGTTACTATTGCCATCATCACCGGTCATTGAATTAAAATGGTACGCACGTCAGTTCTGGACACATTTAAGTGGTTAAATAATTTAACATTGCATTCACAATTATTTTGAAAATTGTTCGTTCTCAGGTTCCGTTCGTAAGAAACCACATGACTATATACTATAAATTAATTCATCTTCGTTATTTTACATGGAGGTATAACAAAATATATGGTGCTTAATTGAAAAATCCATTAAACATTTATCTTGTATATGTATATGACTCTAATACATACCATCGAGACGAATGAGCCCATCGGTCTCTCCGAGGGAATTCTTCGCAACGCATCTGTACGACGAGAAGTCCCGGGACGACACTTTCCGTATCGTTAATTTCATTTTCCTGCTGTAGCTGTCATCACTCAGAGATGTGACGTATTTACTTCCTGTTGACAGAAAAATACGAACGGTTCGTGATCCACTTATGTCCAGTTTGTGACATATATGTTATTGTGTTTGAAAACTGTTATAACATTTTATTTATATAACATTATAATTTTAATCTAAAATATTGTTAGAAATTAATTTTGATAATTTAGGATGTAATATTCTGTATTTCAAATCAAATGATAGGAGAAAAAATATTAATGAAAAGTTAAGTTGAATTTACATCGAAGCTTACAAAAAAAGACAAATAAATACACTTCTTTAAATCAAAGCCCCCTCAATAACATCAGATTTCAAATAAAAAAGAACTTTAAACGGAATAAGACGGTCCCCACTTCTGGGATACGTATTCCCTATGTATAGAATCAAAATGAATAAGGAGAAAGAGCCATGAACCATCACGCAGGCCCACTGCGGATTGTTGGTTGTTAATGACGTCAGATACAGTCAGAACCTTCTTCTGAAGCACAGAAGAATTTGAGACATTACATTTTTGCTCACTTAAGCTATGATCGGCCTTTGCGAAAATTGCTTGATTTCCGCATTGCAGAATAATGTACTATCGAGCTTCTCGAAAGTTTTTTTCCAACCGATTTTAAATCAACTATAACCGATTTCAATTCGAATTATAACCTTGGTAATGTTTTTTTAATAAATTATCACTATCAGTGAGTTGTTACTTTTTTGATACCTGATATTATCATGTCTCCTCTGTCGGTAGTCCAGTAATTGATGGACGAAGGGTATGCTTCAGTGTGACACTCTAGAGTTACATCTTGCCCTATATATGCTGCTTCCAACTGATTTGGGATCGACAGCATCGGTGGAACTGTGTAATAAAACAGAACGGTAAAACAAATTACTCATAGTTGAAAATACAGGTTTGATATATACTTTTTAGTAGATATTATCTAATGGTATACGTAATTGATCAGACTGAACGTCGCGCTACTACATTATTTGGAACATTATTTATATGTATACGACCTGAATGAGTTGGTATAATTTTAAGAAATATTATTCTCTTTCGTCTAATCTAAGTCTTGCACTTATTTATCGAAATTTGTGAAATAGCCAAAATATTAGATAAGTATATATATTAGATAAAAATACTAAAATTACTAAGTAGTGATTTCTTATATTTTCACGCGCACTATCCATAGATGAAACAAATTTTGGCACGTTAATTAAACTGAGAAAATGGTAAAGTATTTCTTTTTGTAAAGTGGGGTTGATATTTTTTGTCATCTGCCTTATAGTCTAACCCAAAAACATTGGGAGTGTGGGAGGCCCTTTTTTGATTTAGTAAACTATTTGTGACTTATGATCTTTTTTCTCTCTTCTTAACGATAATAATATTCATATCACTGCACTTTGTGTTAGACATCTTACTCTCCCGCGATGTCTTGGTATGTTCTAATAGATATAAGTCCACCTTAATGATAACTTTTACTCGACACTTTAATTTACTTTTTTTTTTGTGCCTTAAAGAGTATTAAAATCAAGCTTTAAAGTGCTCATTTTAGTTAAAGTCATATGCCCCCCTTTTTACCAACTAAATTGTCATTGGTAAACATTTAAACGTTACGGCATTAGTACCTATATACCTATAACAAAGTTAAAATGAAAACTATCACACGTAAGTTGGCCTTACAAGTTTACGAATAATAGTCTACCAATTGTATTTAACTCGAAAATCGAACGATTACATAAAAAAACAACAAACGTGCTATTTTTTACTTTTTAATGGAAAATGGTACGGAGCCGTGCGCGAGCTAGAGTCGCCCTTGGCCAGTTTTTTTTAAAGTAGAAAAGTAATACAACTAGAAATTCTATATTTTCATAAATTTTTATTTATAAACATCTGAGAATGCCGGAGGTTTTTACATAAAAGAATATTATATACCATTGCAAATCGGATTAAAAATTAAAAACAGACTTTTTAAATGAAATATTTGAACGTGTCTGCTAATTATTTTATAACATCTTTCAGGCTTTATTACGAAGTTTGAAGAAACCTAATATTGCGATAATTATCTAACTTAATTGGCTTCTTACTTAATCCTAATTAATCTCTACGACACTTCCAAATGTACTTGTGGAAACGTTGTTAAAAAATTGTTAATACTTCTTGTAACATAAAAAAATGTTTGACGCAAATAAAGAAAAAAAGGTGCCACGAAGCGAGAAATAGCTACATAATAACATTATCAGGAACGTCGTCATAAAGATTTGTCTTCGACGCGTAAGTATAATGAAAACTGACAGTGCATTCATAAGGAAGTCTTGTTGGTTAATCGAGTGAAAGTTACGTGAACATTTCACGTATCCTATAAGAAATGGAGAGGAGTGTGAACGCGCTGAGATACGGAATGTGAATTAGGGGGGGGTCTCGTTGGTTTGAGCGAGAACGAGAACGGGCGCTGCCGAGGCGAGCAGATAGTATCGTTTTTATAGCGTCCGTGCCGTATTCACGTCAGCATAATGCTCTAATTGGGCGCAATTACGTCCGATCCGGCGGAAGGCGCCGTCAGGTAGACACCGTGTCCTCGTAAATACTCGTTAACGACTCCGACCTCCAGAAAAATAATATTTCTGAACGCTGACTCCCGAATAAAGGAATGGAGTCGAGAAAATGGTCACGTACTTATGAAGGAAGAATTTGAGGGCAAGGTAACGGGCCGGCAGAAACGAGCACTTTTTTCTGGATGAGAAAATAATATGGCGATAATTTGTGCGGCTGTCTTAAATGTCCTTAAGATATGAGAGTAAAGTAAGCCAAGCTTTCATTGTGAATAGGATAATTTACTTAATTTGTGCCTAATTTTCATTAGAGGTACGGATTTTCTGAATACATTTTTGAATAGTAGAAACAATCTTTTAGATAAAGGTTGCTCAGCATTTTTTGTATAGGAAAAAATTTAAATCAGTGCGCAAAATATAATATTATTTTTGGTACGGTTAATTAAATTCTTTTGTAACCTAACAAATAATAACGTTACTTATGACATACATGAAATGCCCGGAAGTCGATCATTTAGAAATATGGAAATGTTAATAAAAAATTATTATCAATACAACATATTTACAAAAAAAAATCCTTGTAAATATGTTGTATTGACGATACTATATACTAAGAAAGTATATTCTGATAAAAATACCTGTATGTGTAGTATTTAACTTTTGCATGTGCAATTAATTTATATCAACTTTAATTATTCTGAATACATACTGCTATTAACGAAACAAGACTAAAAACCGTTCACATCCATTCTCCATTATGTTATACAAATATTTATAATGTACTTCACGTAAGCTGTCATGTTTAATATTCTGGTTGAAGGCACGTTTTAACTATAGCACTCTGAAATAATAGAGTCAATTGTGATTTTAACGGTACAGGCACCAGTAAATACAACTTTCGGTAAAATTCTCGCTGCGTCCAGCCAGTAAATTATAAAATCAGTAGAAATCAATATTAGTTATAAATTGGGTTTTTTAAATGATTAAGTATATAGTTAATTTATAGAAACTAACATAATTCTGTTGAGTAATATGTTCTTTTATCATGGAAACTTTTTAATTAGATTAATGCCCTTATAATCCTGTATCTGCTGCTTGAGATAAAATACAAAACGTGCGTGTGAGGTATAACTCTGACATGACCAAGATATGCCCCAATTAGTTAGCAGTAGTAATAGCAATTACGCAAATGTAGTTTTTTTGCGTATTTACTATTTTGAGAACATAATATTTTGTGAGTATGGTGTTTTGAAAATGTAATGTTCTGAGACGAAAGATCATCAACAGACTTTTAATGACCCTTAATGTAGTAATGCTTTTAATGGCACGGGTCTATCCCACCGATCATCATCATCAGCTAGCTTATCTACTACGCCACTGAGCTACTAGCCCCAAACATGGATCTATACTATTTAGGTTCTATAGTCATAATAGAAAATAATTATGCACCAAATGCGGATTTATGGGTGTTAGCGACGACCCATGCAGCCAGGACCGACCAATATCGTAAAATTCATTTTATACTCATTTATTACTAATCGAATACAAAAGATGCGAATTATCATAATGTCTGGCTTCCCCTCAATGTGCGATTGTGTGTGTTTCGGTGTAATTAGCATTTCTTTATTCATGTTTCGTTCCGCCCACGTTTACTCCCGATGAACTCAAGGTTAGTCATTATTCGGGTAGGTCAGTACCAAAGAGTAGGTCGTGTTGTAGTTAAGTATTTTTTATGCTAAATGCTTGAAATACGTCGGAGAAAATTGGTATTTCAGGTTTTCTTAAGTTTTCTGAGTGAAACTTAGGCTAACTTAGTTAAACTAATATGCGACATGCTAGGTCGTCGATGTTAGTTGGTAGTATAAACTGGATTTTCAGGTAGCAAAATATTTGTTTAGGGTACATTACGGTTAACATATAAAAGACTTATGTCAGTTCTCACTAAACCTAGGAGTCGCCAATTCACCAATGATAGGCTCCTTATCCTAATGGCTTTAAGCAATGCTTAGAATTAGGATATGCATTGCGGCGCGTAGCGTTGGGCATTTACGTAATGTGACATATATATTTTCTCTTTGGCCTTATTAGATGTGTCAAGGAATAACATCAATTTAGTAAGTTGGCTAATTATAAAATTTCCGGCTATTAGGGGCCTTGATGACTTGGGTGCTCTTGTAAATAAAGATCAATTGTATAATGTTTTATTACGTCAAAATATATTTTTATTATTGTCTCTTTACGTGTAAAGGTCAATAACGTGATATTGGCGAAATTGTTTAAACGCAAATAGGTCATACATTAAGAAAAAAAAGAAGGTATGCAAAATTATAGACAAACATTAAGTATGTAAGCAAGTGCTTAGTAAGGCATTACCTAACAAATAAATATTTTTTTCTTTTATTCCTTATCACTGTCATCTATATTAGTCATACTTAATACAGCGCCGCATAAAGCATGTCATAATTATAGACATAGCTTAATATCGTTAGGTCCTAGTTACTTGTGAAATTTTCACCTTAGATGATATTTAAATAGACGACAGATGTGGATGACCCTTAAGTTTAGTGAAAACGATAATTATTGAAGCCAATAACCTACATTGAACCATGAGGACAACTCTTTTGCTGATTGATGGTGGTACTCCATTAGATGCAATACACAAGTAGGCGCCCATATGTAGGCGTGATACCTTCGATATTGTCAGGTTCTCGCCGTCCACTACGTTCACTGAAACAAAATATAACTATGAAACGGATGAGAAGAGAGAGTGAGAGAACATTAAAATATATATTTGAATATAATATATTACTTTCTAGTTATTTAGGTACAGTGGCAATAAGATAACATTTTATATATGTAACAAAGACATAAAATTCAGCTTACAATTATAAAGACGGTATAAAAAGCTTACTCGCTTCGACTATTCCATTTTAAGTAAAGACAACTCTCATACAATATGAAATAAATACAAAATTAGTAATTCTTTAGCCGATAGAACCTTTACCACTTCTTTCACAGTGTTGTTCTCTTTAAGGCGAGTTTGTGCAAGCGATTGAACAGAATTATCATTTTTTTATAGTAACACGACAAAGTTATTGTAATATACTTGAACCCTGGACCTTAGAGATGACGGACCACTTTTGGCGACGGAGGTCGTCATAAAGAAACATCTTTTAAAAAAATATGTTTGTGAGATGAAAAATGTGTAAATATTAGTAGAGATCAATTAACAGCCAAGCGAATTCGCGTGAAAAGTATAATAACAGTAAATCCATTACAAGTGCAGAACCTTTTGTTCCAACATTGTAAGTAGAACAGACATTAGATGGCACATTAATCAATAGAGGTGAGGTAAAAGAAAAATAGGGCAAAAGTCGTTAATTAAGCTAATAGCGTCTTTGTGTGCGGAGTTATTCTGATATCCATTAGATATTGCGGCACAAACAATAGAACACGAACTTATAGATTTATTCTAACAAAATTGGGATTAAATAAACAATTAAATTGTTTAATGAATAGTTCCAGTAATCATCTTAATTCACTTTTTCGATTATGTTTATACTTGATAGTTAATAATTTACTTGTAAATTAGTTACTGCTTACAAAGAACTTTGGCATTTTCCCTACGGAGGTTAGTTGTCTAAGAAATTCGTCAATTATGATGAAAACTTCTGCGGATATTTGTTACGCTGAAAAGGATTTTGTGGACGAGATGGGACTTTCGTAAATTGTGCTCCATAAGTATGGCAATAGCGCTCTTATTTGCTTCTTATATTAGAGAAAAATTCATTACTTCAAAACGTTTTCTAAGCTTTTATTTGTATAATCTACTTTACATTGAAATTGACGTTCAATGTTCATTGCAAGGGAGCTCGTTTCGTCGGGAGTACCGTCCGCGTCGGTCACGTGATCTTGGAACCCGTACTTTCGCGCTTCAAAGATTTCCTTTCATCTGTTTTGTTTCTTTGCGAGCGTTAACATAATGACCATCCGGAGAGAATGTTTCGACCGGATATTTATCACAGAAAATCTTTGTTACCGAGTGTCTACTCGCCATTTTCATTCGAAAGAAGGAAATGGCCGGCGTGTAGGTATGTCTTTATTGATCCACGTTTCCCGGTGTTAAAGGAATATTTGAGTTATTTGCAATTCGAATTATTCCGGGTCAAAAGAAGATGGCGCGAGATCAAAGAGCTTATCGTCCTAATAACACATTAAAAATTAATTGCCCGGGTAAATAAGTCGGTGGTACTTTCAAACGCAGAGTAGCGATTCCCATTGGGATACACTTGACATACATTATATCAGAGCTGGTTTTCTATAATATTTATAAATAAAATAACGAAGAAAACAAACTGGCAACAGATGCTATGTGCCAGACGCAGAGTATACATAACAATTATCAGTTATACTACACAGTGATATTACAATGAAGTGATTTGTTTGTTAGATATTTGCCATCCCAATTGAATTTGATAAAAATTGACAATGCAATTCTGTTAAAACAACCTGGAACTCGAAGTTGAGGGTATAATCATAATAAAACCAAAGAGTATATTGACTTCATACATACGTATCGAAAATGGTATGTATGTGAGCGCACCCGTTCGTTCAGCACACTATACAGTGTTCAACGCACGAGTCGTGGCTATAGTCGTGGCTGTGTCCGTATCCGCGCATACTCTGCTCCGATTGAATAACCTATAGGAGCCCTACGTTTTAAGTAGGGCTCCTATAGGCTCGAGTCGGCGTACTTTTTTGGTTTTAATATGCACAGTGCTGTGATAACATAGACCTTCAATTAAATAAAACCATTATTACCTTTTAAAGTAGTTTTTATTTGGCATTATAGATTAAAGTTATCTATATTATGTAAATGTAATGCTTTTACTAATGATTTGGGTACTTATTTTATGTAAAAAATCCACATCTATATAATTTAATAAATACTCGACGTTTTAGTTGACGCTATGTAACGACTTAACTTGTTGTCTTAACTTGTAATGTTCCTTTCTATTGTTTGTACTTCATCCAGGTGTTACACCAATTCGCTCTATGGTTTCTAAAGTCTAAATTTTAAAAAGATTAACAGAACAATTAAATAAATTTTATGCAAACATTAAATTCATATTGTTGACGACAGTTATTTTTTCATTTATTATGGTATCAAATAGATATACTTAACAAATTGTGTATGAGTAAATGCTTTAAATTACAGACCAATAGTACCCAATAGTAGTTACCAAGCTTTGCCATCCTCTTAAGATGAGTGTTTCTTAATTTTTTATATTGTAAATCTTATATGACTTTGTCGCTTTTATTTTATGCTATCTGTGATCCCTTGTGCTTTTATAATTATTCTTAAATATATCTTATTCTTTGCTAATCTTTTATTAACTACAGTCCATCGTGCTTGCTGTCGATTACACATATTCTAAAAAAATATTTATCTTATTGAAGGTAAACATTTTTAATAATTATTGTTATCCACTAGCAGCTATACGAGTATATATAAACGTCCCTTTTAAAAAACTCTGTCTATTGATGAAAATCGCATTAAAATCCATATTGTAGTTTATTACATTTAAGATATCAGTGCACAGACAGCGGGAAGGGACTTTGTTTTATACTACGTATTGATTCTACTGCAGATATTTGCTCACCTGATTCCCCGTTGCAGTTAAACTCCTGGCCGTCTTCTCTCCTCCACATCACATAAGGTTCAGGGTAGCCGGTCGCTCGGCAGACCATAGTCACATTGGTACCTTCCCGTACTACCATATCAGTCGATGTCATATTATCGATGATCACCGGAGGTACTGAGAATAGAAAATCATTTATAATGTCTTTGTCATAAATGTCCCAGCTAATAAATGTCCCAAGTCTAATTTATTACCGTCTGTTTTTTCTTGTTTTCAAATTCCAAACAATCTACACATTTAATCGCCTTTACAAATCTCTTAAATATTGAATATAAAACTCTCGTGATTAATATAAAATCCTTGTTTTTGAATGAAAACGTTTTCTAAAGATATTTATATTCTCTTTGAACTGTTCTGCAAATTAACTCGTATTAAGATAAAACCAGATATGTTTAACTTAATTCGGAAACATCGTTTTCTTCGTCTGAAGTAAACATATTTAGTCTTCTTGTTCAGGACCAGAAATCAAATTGTGTACATGAAAGAGGGAAATGAAATATGCCTCTAGTAATATGCTAGTACGTAATATTAAGAATTTAGCTGCCTGTTATCTTAATGGAGAAAAATAATAGTTTTCTTCACTATCTTAAAAGCTTTGAGACTTACTGATTAGTTCAATAATTTATTGATGAAGATTTGATACTATAATGTTTACAGGAGCCTAACCATGAGCTCTTATACATATACAGTGCAATTTATAAACAAGGTTTAGCGTCACAGTAAATTTACGTTAAAATTGCAATTTTGGTATCAGTAAACAACCTTCTAAGAGTAAATATTACTCCCGTAGAACCTCGTACTATGTTAACCTTTTCTAAGTCTCTGTTTAAATTAAATCTTGTTTATTAAAAACACTGGTAATGTTTAATCGGTTCCGACCTCCAAATTATATTTATAATAATGATTTTACTAACCTACGACTTGGAGATAGCCTTTCCTTGACCGCATGGGATCAGTATTAACTTGACACATATACCAGCCCCTGTCGACCTCTTGTACATCCTTGATGTGAAGATACCACGACCTATGGTCGTTATATGATAAACTAATGCGAGGATTCTGTGTTATGATGTTGTGGTGGATGCTGAGTATTGTTTGCGTGTCGACGCGAACCCACGCCATCTGGTATAAAAAAAATTGTTATAAGGATTTTTTTATGGTTGTTCTTGATGGCTAATTGTTTAGCGCATTTAAGCAACTATCGCAAAAGTCAGTCATACAGATGGGTGTCCAAAATTTTTTTGTGTCGATCTCATCCGTGTTTTAGAAGGGATATTAAGCCATTTGTCCTGATAGCATTATACAGTCATTAATATTCTTCAATCAGTAATGGGCAAGTTTGAGTCCATTAGGATTCGATTCAATTCATTCCATCTATAGGGAAGACTCGTAATCCAGCTGTGGCGTCATTAATAGGCTGATTTGATTATTATTATTATTATTGATTCATAATTTTATCAGTAAATATATTTCTATTATTGTAAGTTATTGTGTTACTATTATATTTTGTATAAAATGTAAAAATTTATTAAGTTTGTTTTGATTCGCAAAAATAATAACGCTTTTACCACACAGTCTTGAGACACTACAATGGATCAGACGCGAAAATTTTCTTAATTCCCTATCCGCTGCCCGAGACAAATCAACATGAGATATCTCATTCACGAAGTTGGTTTTACCTAGCTATCATATGTACATAATGATCGACAACTGCAAGTGTAGTTATAATTTTAACTGGAGTGAACAACATGGACATTTGATATTTGAAGACCATATAATATTATATAAATTAATCTATGTTATCTAGGTTAAGAAATAGTACGCAGTCGTTATGAGACTGATTAATTCTGGACAAAAAATATTCCACGCAACCATTTAAAAATAAAATGTTAATCCTATTCCCGCATAAATCTGGTCACAGCACAGCAATTCTGCTAACTAGCCGTCCTGCATGATTAATAATGGGCGGCGCGTGCATTCTGGCGAAGTGATATTAAGTTGGCTTGTTAAAACTTTACCGCATGCATTGCACAATCAAGTCCTGTGAACTTCCTGCTTCGTATCCGGTTATAGAATTACACTGTGCACTAAGTGGAGAGCTGATATGTCAACAGGAATTTATTCGGATGTAATTTACTAGTTTCTTTTTTTTTATTATTTGCATTGCACATTACAGATTTTTTGATAGTTTAAATATTATGTTAACCAAGTTAATTTATTTATTTTTTTTATTCATTTAACAAACTTTCAACAGCCATTTGTTATTTCAATACAATAATAAATAAGCAGCTTTGGCGCCAATTATAGAAACTTATTACGTTTACAAATCTAATTAATAAATTAATCATAATGACGGCAGTTAACACAGAAAATGTAAGTATTTGACGAAAATTATATATATAAATTATAAATTATATCGCATGACAACTACGATGTATGTTTGTAATTCTCTGTGTGTTTGTAATTCTCTTAGATCCTTCATTCCTTATCTTTATATCAGTCCGTTGCAGAGTGCGCCACAAAACACAATCTCCCGCTGTCTTCATTCAGCCACTAGCGGCCACCTTTCTGAGGTCGTCATGTCATCTTGCTGAACCCCCCGGCATTACTTAATTCATCTCTATTGTTCTCGTATCTTATCAGTCCTATGTGCACTGTAATTATATTGCAAATAATCTGGACATCTCATCTTCTGCTTTTTTGCAGTAGAAATATATTTGGATTTTTGAAGCCGTAAATGAAATATACTAGTATTATGAGCCTAAGGATGTGGAATAGAATATTATAATGCTAAAATTAAATTATGAGATTCCCAAAGTATTCATTTATTCAGATATAAAATCAGTAAAGCTAATTTCAGAAAATATCTATAATTTTAAACCATTGTGAACATTTTGTACGTTATATCCTAAATATAAACTCTTCTAACATATTCACCATCATCGGTCTATTAGTATCTCCCCTGTTGGGGCTCACACCTTTTTATTTGATGGAATCGAATCGAATTGAATATGAGCCATCATAACCCACCACGCAAGTCCCGTGCGGATTGGTGGGTATTAACGACTGCAGATGCAAGTGGCCCTACGACTTTTAACGTGCATTCCAAAGCAAAACTCTTTAGTATTATAGATACCCTTCATTTTCCATGACTTGTAACATCCTTGGCCTTATCTTACCTTACCCTACCTCAACACCTTGTCATAATACGATTTTAAATAGCATAAACCTATTTATGCAATATAAAATAACCTATATGCTACCACTAAAACAATGAGTGGTCAAAGGGTCCACTCTAAGGACCATAAACGAAATTTTGGAAAATTTCGATACGTTCTTATAATTTTGTTAAATTCATATGCGTGAAGATTGAACAAGAGCTTCAGCGGTCTCAGGTCCTACGTCTGTTGCATCTTAACTTAAAAATACTTTTACCAAAATTACTTTATATTACATAATTCTTTGGGATCGTATTAACTTTTAGAAAATAGGCGACATTAAATCAAATCAAATCAAAATTGTTTTTTCAGTTTAGGCTTTTACAAAGCACTTGTGAAAGTCGAAAACTACGCCATCGGTTCGCAAAACTACGGCGGAAGACCTTGTACTGAGAAGAACCGGCAAGAGGCTCAGCAAGGGCTGTTTTTTTTCCCTGTTTTATTTGACACAGAGAAGTCTTATTGAAAAGTGACTGCATTAGAATATGAAGTCACTTTCCATTACAATATTAGAAAGTTAAATACAATAAAGTTAAAATATCTAACACCATGCCTTTTTGTCATTTAGATATTCCGTAACGGTATAATATCCTTTACTTTGGAGACAATTTTTAATACGACTTTTGTATTTTTTGGTTATTGCAGTTGCCTAATTATAAAAACTTTACTCCGTTGTGTTAAAGCGGGAGGCACAGGACCGATCGCTTTGGAGATCTTTGAGGGAGGCCTATGCCCAGCAGTGGGCGTCTCTCAGCTGAAGTGATGATGATGAGATTTATATTACTGACCAACCATTATAGACATAAACATTGTTTTTGTGTACTTGAATCTGACACTGTTTTTATAAATAAAGTCAAAAATTATGAAATGGAGAAAAATAATAAGTAAGCATAACAGGTGCATGCAATTATGACATCTAGCTCTTTAGATGAATGTTGAAAATCGTGTTACTTATAGAAATAATAAGTGGCTAAAGCATTTAGAAAATTATTACAGGTGCGTCCTAGTATTGTAAAATTCCCAAAAGATGGATATGATCAAGTAAATATTCATACTAGAGGTGGGGCCTCTAGTATGAATATAACACATTTATTTAATGTTACTTCGATATGTTGTAACTTTATTTTACATAAAATTCTGCGAAGCCCCTACGGGATAATAGCGAGTATACAAACAAATATTATAAAAGTGAAAATGTGTTTGTCTTTTTTCACTACGAATTCGGGCGAAGGGTGGATGTGATTTTTTGTACGGAGGGGGCCGTGAGAGTGACATAGCCCACTTTTTACCGCGGGAAATGTTCATTCTAGGAAAAGAAAATACATTATAATGTAAGTCATTTATTATTATTAATACACGCAACTTTACTTAACTAGATGGCGCTAGGAAAAAATATCCTAAAAGCTGTTTACTGTTTCACGAGAAATTATGTGCTATGAAGAGGAAGCGGGAGAACTTAGTTAACTCACATAGTACCTATATTTTAGTTTATGCTGTGTGTGTAAAGCATTGATTGAGGCGATTACAATATATTGCCTATATATATATATAGTGATGAAGTTTATGTTTATAACTAGTAAGTTGACGGTTAAGTATAACTGGAATACTGCTAGTCTTCATATCTTTTTCATTTAAAAATCTCAAAATATCATTAAAATCTAAATGAGTGAAAGATCAACTATTATAACTCGTCATTGAGTTATAGAGCAAAGTAATCCAATATGGAATTATAATCGCTATTATACATGTATATATTATAGTACCTTCTTCAATTATTCGTCATAAAGGACACTTTTTCTATTGTCAATAATTGAGCTGGCTAGTGAAAATAAGGATTGTAAATTGAAACTAATGAATAAATGGAATATAATAAAAAATAATAAATCAAAGCAAATACAAGCAAATCAAAGAAACAAAGGAACAGATATAATGACACAGAGAAAAGCAAAAACTGTAAAGACATGACATTTAAGTAAATAAGCGGAGAACGATGGTGTCACTATATACGTTTCTCTTATATATAGATATATATCGATATGCATTCATAAACTACTTATACTATGTATATATATAAAATAAATATACGATGAAAACAAACAAGAATATTTGATAAATATAAATATATCGTTACAGGTTCGTATGTTCACTTACTTTGTAACCTCTTAAATCTTCGACGACGCATGCGAGTAGAGCGTCCCGGCCCACAGTGACTGTCACGTTCGGTACAGGTTCCACAAACCGCGGGAACAGTGACTCTGCAACAAGTGATACTTTTGTAAAGTATTTACATACTTAATATCTGTCATGTGATCGGTGATTAATGGAACATTTTCAGTTCATTTGATAATTCAGGATGATAAAGGCAGTAGAGTATATTTTTCAACCTACTAAAACATTGACGTATTCTGTTTATTTACTGTGCATATGTACTTTAGTGTCTATTTTAAATTTCATAATTAAAATATTTTTTAATAAGTTTTGTTTTTTTTTTTACATATATTATGAACCTGAAGTGGTCGTATTAGCATTGTTTTTATGATAAAATAACTGGAAGCGTTCTGTATAATACAAAACGTATAAAGTGTATACCAAATAATGTGTTTATATCATTGAATAAAAAAAAGATCGCATATTTTGCTTTCCTATAACTTTCGTTAAGTTAACATCAAATTGTTATATACCTACTATTCAAAATAAATATTTTTTACTCATATGAAATACGGTACTAGTTCATTATATATGAATATTGTTCTACACGTTTTGTAATTGTTTTTTTTTTCATCATTCATAAAAAGTAGCAACAAACCTCAAACAGATGTATCGCATGCTTTGTATAAATCTTGGTTTGTATAATGTCAAGCCATTTTACTTTCCATTATATACTTTTGTTGTTGCATAAGTAGGTTGATGGATTTACTGTCTGCTTACAGTCATATTTCTTTAGAATCTCTATTAGTTTTGAAATGGACTTTTGTTGTAAGATATAGTTTTACTTTTTTTAAAGAAAGTATAAACAACTTACTAAAATGATCAACCATCACCGTCTAAATGAAAAAATACATAAATTTTCTTTCGATACTATATAGTTTTATATTGCTCCCGTACTCCTTTACGTTATTAAAATACCTACTAGTGGTTACTGTAGTAACTTAAAGTAATAACATAAAATATAATTTTTGATAACCATGACATGTATAGGTCAGCAGGTCGGCTGTTTATTTATTCATTTGGAGATCGTTCGCTTAGGCCTCGCACGGTAAATCCTTCGGTCAATGCTGTTGCCCCGTATTTCGTAGGACAGCGGAAATTTGATAGATTGACAGATTTTATTGTTTCATTCAACTTTCCAAGTATTCCAGCACTAGTTTTCCACGATTAGTTTCAATATAATGTGATTCTTTGTTGGTTACGTACGATCAGCTTTTTGTTGTCACAATTACTACTGGTCTGTTTTACTGATGTAACTTTTGATTTAAATTAAATTTACAGTTTTTGTGTTCAAACAGTTAGCGTCACTGTGAGTTATCATCAGAATCATGCCTTCCCTATGGATCAAAATTAATCGAATAGTGAAAAATGTCCCGCGCGGGTCCAGTCCGGACTGGCTTAATTGTGCCTTCCGAATCACAGAGAGAGTGTACGCGTTGTACTGCTCTATCAAACTCCTATGTCACTGTGAGTAATGTTCTGAAAGGAGAATGGGCACTTTAGTATAGAATTTGGTCCAAGTATTGTAGCACGTTGAGTGATACATATTTGAAAGATCTCATTCATACAAACATTTTTTTTTGTATAATGACGATGCTGAAATTCATGTCTATGAAAAGATAAAGTTCCATTTTGTCAAGTTAAAATTACATGCTACATGGTCGTATTTATTTTTATTCGTGTTAGTTATTTTTAGAAAAATTGTTCATAATACACGTGCGGTGTTTTCTATGTATGCGGTATTTTATATGTTCTATGTATACTTCAGTTACTTTCATGGTATACTTTAGTTACTTTCATAGTGTAATCTTAGTAGTCAGTGCGCATGCAGTGACATCATTAGGGGAGACCGGGTTCGTTGACTATAGGGATAGGTTGACTAACTATCAAAAACTCGTCTGTCGCAATAGCCTTGAACACGATAGTGAGTCGTGAGAGTCCGTTACCTCCCCACACTTGGTCACCGAGAACGCGGCGTAAGGCACACTTTTCGTTTGAGAGAACGAGCGTAATTTTGAAAATCAACGCACGTAAGTAATTGTTTTTGTGGTAATGTTATTTGTAATAATGCCTATTTATTCATGGTTATTGATTGAAAAAGAATTTATAACGAATGTGTGATTTATGTTCTTTCTTTTATATATTATTCTATTTGATTTCGTCGCTGAATTAAGGTTATGGCACGTGGCTAAAAATAAAAAGGCAGTTCGGGGCTAGTAGACTAATGCATAATGGGGCTGGTTGACCTGGTCAACCAGCTCCGTAATATTATGAATATTCCACACATGAAATGAAATGAAAATAAAATGAAATGAAAAAAGTATAAATTGTACAGTGAAAGAATTTGATATACCATATGAAACCCTTCAACGCCACGTCGTAAATATAACGAAAAAATTGAAAATAAATATAATTACATTACAACTAATACATATAATTTAACATTAGATACACATAATTATTTGTTACCAAATGGTTAAAGTTTATAAGAATTTGTTGCGTTGTCTTGTTTCCTTTTGATTTGAATTTTGTTATGTTTAATTGAAGTAGCGTAAGATTGCCTATTGATTTCAATAAATTATATTTTTTTAAATCAATAGGCAATTTTGTAGATTCCCATTTTCTCATTTTCTTGTAGATTTTACCCTTACAACTTTATAGGTCAACTTACCCCAGTCGAATAGTCAACCAACCCCAAGCATGGGGTAGGTTGACCAGCTTTTCCAGTTTTACAAGAACTGACCTGTACCCTATATCATAACGAATAACGTGCTTTTTGCCACGTTTTTCAAAAGCTTAATAGTTAATCTATAAACTAATTCTATTTTTAAATTAATTTGCTAGAAAGAAATAAAAATAGTAACCTTTAAGCTGAAAATTGGTCAACCAGCCCCGGTCTCCCCTATTTTAGTGAATTATATGTATTGTTTTATTTATATATATAGTTGCACTTCATAGAGAAGCCGAAGAGATGGCATATCCAGTGCGCATGGAGTGATGTTTTCTAAATTAAGACATTTTCTCATTGCGTACCCATTAGCATGCCTTCTGAACTCCTTTCTTTAAAAGCAGCACGCAAAGAATGACAATCGAGGAAAGCTTTGTCTTTGTCAACCGTCATTTTTTTCGGGTCAAGAATGAGATATAGTATGGCCGCACAGGAGAAAGGTAATATTTGGGTGTAAACAAAATAATCTTGAGTTTGTCATGCTACACGTGCAGAATCCAACATTACACGAAGTAAGAACAGGATTAGTAGCCAGACAGTAGCTGCCACCAATTATAGGCAGTTTTTTTAATATAATTATGATGATATTATGATTAAACAATTTTTTTGTACATAAGGTTTTTGAATTTACTTACAATATCTGATAGATGTCAAAATAAACGATATGATACATATTTCACAAGAATAATCTTAAAATTGCATTTGCTATCGCATTTATAGTAGAAATAAAAGTAAACAGTATACAATACTTGTATACTCGTGTATTGTGCACAAGTCACAGCAAAAATCTCCGTTTCATTTAAATGGTTTGTTCTTCTGTCCTTTACATTAATCTGATGTTATTCATTCTTCTTCTTAAAAAAAATAAAATTGTTTATTTAGTTTAGACTATTAAATAGCACTTGTGAAAGTCATAAACTACGCCACCGGTCGCAAAACTAAAGAGACTTTGTACTGAGAAGAACCGACAAGAAACTCAGCAAGCACTGCTTTTTTCTCCCTGTTTTATTACACACAGAGAAGTTTTATTGGAAAGTGACATTACAATATTAGAAATAATGAGACATATTTTCGATTACTGATTAATATGCAGGTTGCCGAGTCATACACAAAGAAATTAAGGAATTCAGAGCAGGCAACACCCGTTCCCGAGTATGATGCATGAGCCTCAACCATATTTCAGGGAACTGAATGATCCGACGCACACGACATCACCGCAGAGATTTTTAACCTTTAACTGGTGACATGGTTTTTTTGTAACGTGACTGGTGACGAGCGATCTGTGAAGCCGCTGCCGTTTTGGCTTTATAATTTAGGAGTTAAGTATGATATATTGCTTGAGTGTTTAGAATTAGATAAAAGACATATTAAATAATAACATAAAACGACGATATAAACAATTTATGTATTTTAATTATAATAAACTTTAAATCACTATTTAAGTAGTCTCTTTAACTGAAAATTTGAGGTGAGAACAATAATTACTCATAAAATCTTATAAAAATAAAAAAACTGTAACAGAAATAATAGTTTTCTTAAAATTAACATAATATCAAACTTAAAAAAAATATTAAGTAATCGCAAGTACTACTTATTTCACTAAAATGGCAATGGGTAAACTTTGGTTATTTTTATTAGCAGTCTGGGCACAATTGCTTCGCACATTGCAAGCACACACGCTTTTTACATGATATACACTGATAATTCGATTTACGATTTAACTTGGGAGGACCACTAAAACAGGTTTTCTTTGTTTTAGGTTTTTTTTTTCGATGGTTTGTGGTTCACTTTCCTTTGGGACGAAATTTCCAGGAATATCTTCGGCTTCCGATCCGCTCGAGTCTTCCTCAGCCAGGAAGTCTTCAATTTGAGGACTAGTTAAGGCCTCAGATTCCTTACGCTTCTTTTTTGGAGGTTCTAAACTATCTATAGCAATAAATAACTGTCAAAAACGAAAAAACAATATACCAAATTTACGTTAGTAAGTTACGTTATTGGTGACATAAGGTCTGAGAGGCCGCTTCGAAACTTTGTATCGATGTAACTTACCAATATGAGCCGGTGCAATACAGATTTCCCACTCCATGGCGTAGACGCAACTAAACTTGAAGCTACTCAGGCGCACAAACACAGGAAGCGCGGGGAACAGGGTGAAATGAAGTACCTATTACTAACAACGCTCGGCCTGTGAGACCGCTTATCACCAGTTAAAGGTTAAGAAAGCGTGACTACTCTAGGTACTTAAATTGTGCAGTGCATTAAGGAAGCGAGTTTTAATACATCCATCAATGGCCGCAGGATACGGCACATAATACACAG